TGAAGAATTGGGGCTCAGGGAAGTTCAGTCACTTTCCCAAGGTCATTTGGCAAAACAAAGGTCAGAATGGTGTTAAACCTGAGACTGCTGGTTCTGTGCTCAAGGTAGTGGTTGTAAGTATATTTCTTTCTTAAGTTGGAGCCTCTTAGACTGAGAACCTCACAATCCAGGTGGAAACAAGTTGTTTCTAAATGGTTCATAGTGGAGGCAGGACAACATACATTGATTCACAGGAGGGGAAAGTTGCTTTCTTGTCAATTCTTTCTCAACTAGGGTGGTTAGTCAACTAGCAAATGTGTGTTGTGTTTATGTGGCTTTAGTACATGTTGGGTATTTGTGAATCTCCATTTTTTAACCTATTATTTCAGAAGTGAATGACCAATCTTTCTTCCTAGTCTTTCTGAATTTGAATGCTTAGATTTAGAACAGTATCTGACAGGCAAGCATTTTACAGAAAAGAGCAGATGAAAGATATTTCCTCAATTACAGAAATAACCAGTAGATTCAATGTAGTCCCTGCACTTGACACATGTGTCTTGACCCACCCCTTTCCCTGCTCCACCAGCATTCCCTTCTGCTCCCACCTACTCCCTTCAACACCCATCTCCCATTTCTCATTCTCGATATGATGGTTTATACCTCAAGCTTTCTTGGGTTTCAGTGATTCTGAACACCTCCCAGTGCTGCCAGTTTCTTATGCTGCGGCCAGTATCCCTTGAGTTTAGGAGTCTCCTTGGAGGCAAGGATTCTGGGGCTTTGTCTGACATACTTTGGACATGTTGTAAGGAAAGACAGGTCCTTGGAGAGAGACATCGTGTTTGGTAAGGTGGAGGGACAGCGCAGGAGGGGAAGACCCTCTATGAGGTGGATTGATTCAGTGACTGGGGTAAATCGGGATGGGTGTGTCAGAGGCCATGCGAATGGCACAGGATATAGCAGGGCTTAGGGCTGTTGTACACAGAGTCGCTATGAGTCGCAAACAACTCGATGGCAAATAACAACAACAACAAAGCCCAAATACCATGTAATAGTATAAGGGAAGACTACCTTTCTCAGACAGTTCTGAGGAAAAGTCCTTTGCCTTGAACTTCTGCTCCAGGATTGACTTCTTGTGCCTTAGTTAGTGCCTCTTCTCTTCCATTTGCAATACACTGTTGTCACAGGAGAATAGTTCCGCCAAAGAGGGTGATGTGTCCCGTAGTTTTGGCATCTAGTGTTATATATCTGCCCATGGCCCTGGGCCTAACATTCTTAAAAGGTCTCAGTCCTTGACTTGAAGGCTTATTACCTTTAACACCTAGCAAGATTAATAAAATATTTTTTATTTTATCTTCTATAGATGAATTGTGATATTTGTACTCCTGATGGAGGTGATATAATGTTATTCTTTAAGGAAAATAAGTAAAGGGAGAATAATTCAAGAAAAATATGGAATCAGTTGTAGTGGTTGTGTTGATATTACATGCCATCTATTCCGTTGTGTCAGGAAGACCCTAGATAGGATAGATTGATTCAGTGAAGAGGGTAATGGGATAAGTGTGTCGTGTCAGAGACACTAAGGTTGGCTTACAATAGAGCAGGGTTCAGAGTTGTTGTACATAGAGTCATTATAAGTAGCATGTTAGAACAACAAGGATTCAATTGTGACTCTTCATAACCCTTTAGAACTGAGTAGACTCTTTGAGAGGGCTTCCAATGCTAAAATCTTTATGGGAACTGATCTCCAGGTCTTTCCCTCCAAGAAGACCAACTAGTGGTTTTGAACCACAGAGCTTTTGGTTAATAGTTCAGTGCTTAACCATTGAGCCACCAGTGCTCCTTAGTTTGGAGAATAATAGTACAAATCAAAATGTGTATCCATCTGAATAAACCTGGGAGTAGCTCCAGTGATTTTCACGGTCTTACTCTCAGTATATACAGGGCTTCTCATGAGCATTGTGAAGCTATTCCTTATTTGGCTGAGACATGTAGAGAAGCAATTATGATAAGAACCAGCCCTGCCCTTAGGACCATTGAGGGTTCCCGGGTTAGATTTAAATTTTATAGCCCAAATATACAAGCTAGTAATGGAGTCTTAAAACCTAGGAAAAATATGTAAGTTTATTGCAAAAGATAATATCCCATTTAAAACAGTTTAGAAATTTACAAAACCTTACATTAGTACATCATCTTTAAGAAGGTGCTCTATAGATGAGCTGGTATTAAGTTCCAAGTATAGTGAATACACATTTTTTTTAAACTACAGAGAAATCAGCTACATAAACTCCCACAACTTAATTTGATGTATGGGTCTTTTTTCCTCTTCTATTTTATAAAAAGTACTTTTTGCTAAATTAATCTCTCTCCATAAAACCATACAACCTCAAGTACAGCATTTCTGTAGAATATCATGGCAGATGTTACATAACATTTTACAAAGAAGCAGCGATTTTCACATGAATAGTGAATACAGTTTTAGCATATGTTGGGTGTTTTGTTGTTGTTGTTTTAAAGGGATGGTCATTTGCATCCAGCAGGAAAGCGCTTACCAACTCTTTTACTCCACAAGAAATATTTTAAATGTTCCATTTTCAGAAGAATCACTTTCCCAGTTTCCAGCCTGTGGCCCAAGCAATGCCTGTGTTGTGCTTTGGTATAGAATCATTATAGCCTTGTTTGGTAGTATTTCTAGAAATGTCGATGTTTTTCAATCTTGATTTCATTTAATGCCATTGAGGGTTTATTTGGGACTCTCAACGCAGTCTATGTGAATGACTACGCGAACTTCTTAATTATCAAAGTGGGGGTTGTACTGTTTGGGTCCATTACATCAGACATCTCTTCAACATTCCAGGCTAACTTTGGCAACGGATTCAGCTCAGTTATGTTCAAGTCAGTCCATTTCATGTGGGAACATACTCATAGAATGGATAGGGTAGATGTTCTTACCCCATTAGACAAACAAGCCCCCTAAATTTAAGCAAATTTCCCAAGGTTACTGGACTAGACCACTCTTTTGTTTGGGTCTCTTAATTCCAGGAATACGATTGCTTTCATTCTAGCATGCTGCCCAAGAATTTAAATTCATTTGAAAATTAGCGTAAGCAAAGCAAATGAAGATGGAAGCTTTACTACAAGATGAAATTACATAATAGATCCCAAATGATTTGCTTTATTGGATTATCCTCTGTGCTGTTCTTTTCCATTGCTGGGGCCAACAGAGAGTTGATTGTATGGAGACAGAAAGCAAACTCTGTGGCTTTTAGCCAGTGGTAGCGTATCTTACTGAAATGTGGCTTCCTAAATATGACAAGTGTATTTATCTTAATTCCAACTTGACGTTATATATTCCGGTCTCATTTTGTGGGTTTAAACACTACACTAGAAACAGAGCAAGAACATCTTGAATGACATTCCAAGACTTAAATAGTACAAAGTGAGATCCCTTGCCAAATTTCCCTCTTGCCCTCACTGAAGTAACTTTATGCACTGCAGTGCTGTGACAGGGGAAGGTGAAACTATTGGAGTAGTTTGCTCAATTAGTCTCAATTTGCAGTGGGTTAACATATATACCTATGTATGCACAGGATGATGAGACCTTAAAAGGACCCAATACAATCACTGGATCTTCAGAAAAGGGGGTTTTGAGACATCTTCTTCATTTAAGGCATGTTAAGCTTTCGGAACCCTTTCCAAACAGCATCCATCCAGCTACAGGCCGGTAGAGAACTTGTTTGACTGAGAAGGAATCTGCACTTTGCTGTTTTACCGCTCCCCTCGCATAAAATCATGAAGCAATTACTTAATTTTATTACTTATTTCAGCCATGCAAGTTTGACCAGAACCCTGTCTATGGGGTCTTGCCCGAAGAGTGAGCCAGACTTTAAAAGAATTGAGACTTTGGGAAAGAAAGACCTTTCATATTAAAATGAAAATAAAAACAACCAAACACATATCCTCATTCCCCAGGCCCGCTGCTGCTTCAATCAGGTAACCATAGTCTGGTCATGAGGAAGGGCAATTGCGTGGTTTATATGTGTTCGAACCTATCTACAAGGCTGCTTCAGGACAATGTATGGAATGAAGGGGTGAGATCTAGTGTTTTTATTCCTATTATTTGTTACATGGAGAAAATGTAACTGACAGGCTGCTGCTGGACCCCGTGATCGTAAATATTGCAGGTAAGTGAATGGCAGCATCTTAAAGTTCAAACCCAAACCAGATTCCAGCCCATCCCTAGGTGGTCTCAGGCCCTGGACAGAGAGACATGATGGTTTAGGTTGAGCACTGACTGAAGCAGATGCAACTGCAGAAACCCTCTTTGTCTTCCCGTTTCAACCAGGACCCACCCTGACAATCCCTTACACCCTGGGGTTACCTGACTTTGACGCAGACAGTAAGGGCCCTACAGTGTGAGAGGACAAGTCCTTGATTCAAGATCAAGAGACTAGTTAAAAAAATGACGATGGCCCCAACACACCAGAGTAATCGTGCCTTGTTATGCCCTGCCCACTTCTGTTGTGCTTATATATGCTGATATCTTAGTAAACAGCCAGTTTATTATTTCTTTCCTTTGTCCGGGGTGTCTGTATGGAGCCCTCCTCTGTCTTCTTGTTCACATTTTCAGTATTTTCAGTATCACATTTTCATTTACTTGTGGGCTGATGGTAGGATGAGAAGCAAGTGCTTAGCCTCATGGGGGTGCTTGGCAAATGTGATAGTAGGTTTTGTTCATGGTGGGAATCTGGATTTGCATACCACGATTATGGTTGGTCATGTGTGGCAGGAAGCTTAGTCACTCTAGTGTCCACGAAGTCCTCAGCAAGCGGTAACACTCGCTCAGGTTAAGGATGGCCTCAGGTTTCCAGCATCCTTTACAGTCCCAAAGCTTTTCTGGTCTGCAAGGTCAAGTGGCTCACTCCCCTGAGCCTTTGCCAAAAAGCAGAGCAGGCCCAAAGGCAGGGGTCTGCCTCAGTCAGGGAGGCCTTTTGGAGAGGACAGAGCTCATGTTCTCATCCGGCTCAGATCCACCAGAAGCATTTCTTCTTCACCTTCTTGGTTTTTCGCCTCAAGTCCTGCTTCTCTGGGACTGGGGGCTCCACTGGGGACTTTGGTGGAGGAGAGGCCTCTTCAGCAGGTTCAGCCTCCTCCAGACTCTGTAGAACTTCATGGAACCTGCCTTCCTGCTGCCGGAAATCATACTCTACACTGAAAAACACAGAGAGGAAAGCATGGAAAGTAAATTCAATTCTGCACACATGGATTTCACATCACCAAGTGTCCAGTTGAAAAGAAAGTGCTTACTGGTCTGCTATGAAAGAGCATGGGCTTTGGGAAACAGTCCCATGTTACCTACTGACTGTGTGACCTGCAGAAAGTGATACTACCTTTCTGAAACCCCATTTCCTCGTTGATTTAATTGATGGCTGCAATGGCTTCCTCAATGGGAAGTTATTAAGACTAAACGAGGCATGTAACACAGTAATCTGATAGTTGTTACATAAATAGTGACTCTGACATTTCTCTTCCATTTATTAAATGCTCTTAGTAGTATTTTTTGCATGTTAAACACAAAACACTTTGTTATTTAAGATTCAGGAACAGTGTATAATATTTAGGAAATACAGAGAAATATATAACCAAACGTAATGGCTTCCTTTGCTTCTTCCATTCCTGCTTTACTCTCTCCAAGGATGGCTATTTTCAAAATTTTGATGTCTAATTGTCTACAGGCCATTAGCATCTTTGTGTACACATACATGGGCACGGGAACATTTTGTTTCCCTTGCATGAGCATTTTTCTTAGATTTATGTAATTTATGTATCCTGTAGAAAGGCAGTCAGAGTTGTGACTAAGTTCACAGGATCTAGACTCTGGGTTCAAATCCAAACTACTCCATTAACCCTGTGTGTGTGTGTGTGTGTGTGAGAGAGAGAGAGAGAGAGAGAGAGAGAAAGAGAGAGAGAGAGATTAGACAAGTTCTTTCACTTTTCAATGCTTTGGTTTCCTCATCTGTAAAATGGGAATAGCAGAATAACCTATCTCAAAGGCTGTCTTCAGAATTAATATGTATAGGGAAATAGAAATGAAATGCTTAAAGCAGTGTCTGATACAGTCATCCCTTTCAATATGTTAGTCACTCTTCCTGTTGTTAACATTATTTGCATTATCAATACAAATATACTTTTTTCCCTACCTGGTTCCCAAGAGTGTGTTGTTTGAGAGATCTTGGTAGTTAAAGAACTACCTTTAGTGTGCCAAAATGCCGATCCATCTAAATATTCCCCTATGAATAGACAAAGGAGCCATAATGGTGCAGTGGTTAAACACTCAGCGGCTAACCAGGAGGTTGGTGGTTCAAATCCACCAGCCCCTCTGTGGGAGGAAGACGAGGTAGTTTGCCTCCGTAAGGATGTACAAAGCCTTAGAAATCCTATGGGACAGTTCTATTCTGTCCTTCTGCGTCACTGTGAGTCTGGATTGACTTGATGGCAGTGGGTACCATATTGGATAGATACTTTCTGGTGTTTAATTATTAATATCAGTAGCTAGGGGTGTGTGTGTGTGTGTGTGTGTGTGTGTGTGTGTGTGTGTGTTGGTATCAAAAGTATCCAGACTGGACTCTATTGTGTTTATACACACAGACCAGAAAGGTCTGTGAGAAAACCATTAGCTTCAGGGTCCAGGGCTTTCAGATGCAGAAGGCTTTGAGGTCAGAGCAACGCAGCCTCTCTGCTCTGTGTGGGCTGGTGTTTGCTCTCATCCTGGCCTCTGCCAGCACCATCCAGCCAACAGGCCTAGGGACTCCACCTAGCCTGCCTCCTCATTCTGGCTCAGCCCCTTTCTGAGCCGCTGGGACAGAAAGAAGGAATCCTGTCAGACAGCCCTGCAGGTTGTGCTTGAGCCGATTCTGCCTGTAATTGTCAACTCTCCTCCTAGGAGATTTATTTATGGGGGAGTTTTCAGCACTGGGCTGCTTGTAAAAAGGCTCTTAAGCTTGCAGATACTTCCCTTACCTGGTTTCATTGCAGGGCTCCCCAAAGACCTGAGAACAAGGAAGCCAGCGTGGGAGTACCGAGAGTGGAGGAAATGCAGAGTCAGGAAAACAGTGTATCTCCTTGTTAGTGAGGAGAGAAATGGAATGCTCACACGGGAGATAAAAGACCCCATGCCAGTGAGTGATGTGGCATGACTGGCCACCTGCATCCCCAGCAAGAACGAAAAAGGGGCTGTCAGTGAAGGGACACCTGTCTCCTGCTGTGCTCCCACATCACCTCTCTGAGACCCACAGTCTGTGGTAGTACTGGGTGAATGCCACGTAGCCATAGCACTGAGCATCCTGAGATAGCAAAGGAGGGGCTGAAGAGGCTAGGAGCGAGGTGGCCTCTTTGAAAACTAGACTGACGGGGTGTCAGTGCCTAGGGGCCTCTAGGGAGGTGTGTCTGATAATTGAGTTTCTGTATTTTTGATAAGAGTTTCCCAGATTTTCTTCTCCTTGCCTTAGATCTTTCCTCTTTATGCTCCTCTTGGTCCCTCAACAGGAACATAGCTAAATAACTACCTAGTGGATGGAACTCAGATTGCGATCAGAGCAAATTGATTAGCTATGAGATCTTGGGGAAGTCACTTTTCCTTTTTCCATTTTAAGTCTCGGTATCCTCATCTATAGAATGAGCATCTTATCTATTCACAGGATTTAAAAGAAACCAACCAGTCACTGTGGAGACAATTCTGATTCTGTGTACATGTCAGAGTAGAACTATGTTTTGGAGGGTTTTCCGTGGTTGTGATTTTGGAAGTAGATCACAGGCCTTTCTTCCAGAGTACTTCTGGATGGGCTTGAACTTCCAACCTTTTGATTAGCAATTGAGCACATTTACTGTCTGCACTACCCATAGGGCTTCAGAGAAATCTAAATGACATATTGCAGTACAGAGCACAGCGCTTTTCTTGAGCATGGTCTATGCCAAGCATTGTGTCTAAATTACTCAGTACTGCTTTAACAGAAATACCACAGGTAGATGACTTTAGCAAACAGAAATTTATTTTCTCATTGTTTAAGGGGCCAGCTCTGGTGGCTTAGTAGTTAAGAGTTGCCACTGCCAATCCAAAGACACACAGTTTGAATAGGCAGCCTCCTCCTGTGTGATTTACTGCCCCTGAAAACCCACTAGGAGGTCAGCTATGAGTCAGTTCTGAGTCTATGGAATGCAATAACAACAATAACCACCTCCCAGGGAAGGCCTGCTCTCTGTCATCTCTGGAGGAAGGTTCTTACTTCCTCAGTTTCTGCCTCCTAGATCCTTGGCGATCTCCATGTGCCTTGGAGTATAGCCCCACCTCTCCTCTGCTCCTTTGTCTCATCTATTCTATATTTTAAACCAGTTTGACTCAAAATACTCTCAACAGTTAACCTGTCTCATTAACATACCAAAGATAACACATTCTGAACGGGATTATAACCAGTGGTATAGAGGTTCATATTTACAGAATATATAGATTGACAGATATTCTGTGGCCACTTGGCATTGTTGGTCCAGTGACTCTGAATCCTCAGGAAAAGTCAGCCAACATCAGTCACCACTGGAGATCTAGTCAGAGCTCAGGAAATGACACATCACTGGACCAAGGCATCCACAGTTTCATACACTGTAGATTATTAAATTTCCAGCATGAGCTACCAAGCACTGAATGTCTGTTTATCTCTGGAGACACGGTAAGTTCCTGTCTAGGGATATGGACTTGGAGGTAGGAGAATGGTTGTCTCCATCAACCACTGCATTGCACCAAAGACTTTAAAGCAGTGAGCTGCAAACTCTAATTCTAGTGTCCTCTAGCAGTGGGGACATTCATGGTAGCATAAAAAAGAGAAAATCCATATTCACAGCTCTCTTATCTCTGAAATAGTCTTGTCCTCCCCACAAAGACAGAAAAGCTGTCTTCATCCTAGAGTACCAGATGGAGCCAAAGAGAGTGGGCACCCCCTGCTCAGTCTAGGAATTGCTAATGCTGGCTGGGAGAAGACATTCCATCCATCTATCCGCTCACTCATCCACCCATACACGTGTCTTCATCTAGCTATTCCTCACCCCTCTATCTGACTCTCCATAACATACCCATTCGTCCATTCTGCTCTGGGCCTGACAACAATGGGAGGTTCCAGGGCTCTAACAATAAGCTTAGACAGACTCCCCTGTAGAATTGATTTCCCAATGTGTGAAACACGTCATTAAAATGGCAATTACTAGCAGCTAGTTTCAGAATAGGCTTCTTATTTCTCTCAGCTATCCCGAACTTTTCATCTCTAGGCAACCCCCCTGCCAAAATACATGAACACACACACACACACACACACACACACACATGCGCGCGCGCACCTCTTCATACTCCTATATGGAATTTCTTAGACTTAATTCATGTCTCAAACATACAAACAAGCAACAATAATAACAAAATACCCACCTGGCTTTCTCAAGACTCACAACAGGGTCTTACTAACAATTAGAAAAGTAAAAGTCTGGGTGATTCCAGAAGGTGGATGGAACTGGCAGGTCCGGGAAGAGAAGAGACAGGAGACAGAACATACAGACTGTTGCATTGTTTCAGCATTTGCAGTGCAGCCCAGAAGAGAAGAGAGCAAGGGCTCTTCAGTTGGATGTTGTTGGGCTGGAACCATGCCCACAACATATACTAAGCTGGGTGGCCTTGGCCAGTTGCCTCTCTTTCTGTGACTTAAGTAACTGTGGAGCTTATAATAGCTACCTCACTGGGTAGGTGTGCAGGGGGGCTATTCTAACAGGTGTCATCTTCTCACAAGGCCACTGTCCCTGCCCACTCCACTCTCCTTGGCGTCTTTTTGTATTCTTCTCTGAGGCACCGAATGCTTCACCTCCTCACTTAGACCTTCAGCTCTTCAGCAATTGTACACCTTTGGACCAACATTGCTCTTCACCCCTCCCCTCCATGTACATTCAGGGAAGAATACACTCTTTATGTTTCTATGGAAACACAGCAGGGTTCCATTATAATCAGTGGGATTTAGGGAGCTCCTTACCCCCCTCTTGTAACTGCCCCCACTGGTCTTGACAATTTAAAGGGGATTGAAAGGGACTTTCTTTTCAAGGCCAGGCAAATAGCAGAGTATAAAGAGGCATGTGTGCTTTGGAGAGAAATTGATTAATGTATTTTTTTAGGCCATAGCAATTTA